AGGCCTAGACCCTTTTTCTGATGAAGGGTCTAGGCCCGAAACGTCAGCTTTCCTGCTCCTATGATGCTGCTTGGCCTGCTGTGTTCATCTAGCTCTACACCTTGTTATCCTAGTGCTAATTTGCTGTGACTATTTTCATCTCTTCTGGCAATGTGTTTTGTTTCTTTACTTATCAGGTTACTGCCCACTTTAACTTTATTGCATCATCATTTTGGAATAAAATCAATCCTGTCCTCCATCCTCTCTCAGTCCTTCCCCTTTCTTCTCCCCACCTCTGCCTCTCTCTTATATAAACCATATGATCTTTTCACGTGCACCAATTCTAATGAAATGTTATTGACTTGCGACGTTAAATATTAACTCGGCTTCTCTCTCCACACATGGTGACAGACCTGCTGAGTGTTTAACAGTATTTTCTGTACGAATTTTAAAAATTCCGACTCTGGATGATGGGATGATGCCCTTCTCTATACAAGGGTGTGGTTATTGCTCCATTAGGTTTTGGGATGAAATTTATTTTACACAAAGAAGCTTGCAGCAAACAGAATAAAGAATCTTTCCGTTCCATCAGTGTGAGAGGATCCAAATGAGAGGATTCAAATGAGAAGTGACTGCCGCCAAATGTGCTGTTTGTATACAGATTGGAGTAGATTAGTGCTCAGGTTTGGAATTGTTATTTAAGGAAGCTTATAAATGTGTTGGAAGCAATTCAGAGGAGGTTTACTAGACTGGTACCTGGAAATTGTTGGGTTGTCTTTATGTTGAATGTTTGAACAAGTTAGGCTTATATCCACTGGGTTTAGAAGAGTAAGAAGGAACTTATTTTTATTCACTTGTGGGATGTGAGTGTTGCTGGCTGGGCCCAACACTTATTACCCATCCCTAGTTGCCCATGAGAAGGTTGGGGGGAAGCTGCCTTCTTGATCTGCTGCAGTCCACTTGCTGTAGGTAGGTAGACACACAATGGCCTTAGGGAGAGAATTCCAGGATTTTGGCCCAGCGACAATGAAGGGACGGTGATACATTTCCAAATAGGATGGTGAGTAACTGGGAGGGGAATTTGTAGATGGTGGCGTTCCCATGTATCTGCTGCCCTTTTCCTTCTGGATGGAACTGATTGTCGGTTTGGAAGGTGCTGTCTTAGAGGAGCCTCGGTGAATTTCTGCAGTGCATCTTGTTGATAGTACACACTGCTGCCACTGAGCATTGGCGGTGGAGGAAATGCATTCTTGTGGCTGTGATGCCAATTACTTTGTCGAAACATATAGGTACTGATGTGGATGTGGAAAGGCTGATTCCTCTTATGGGAGAATCTAGAACGAGGGGGTCACCATTTAAAAATAAGGGGTCATTCATTCACAACAGGGATGAGGCAATTCTTTTCTTGCAGATGATTGTGAGTCTTTGCAACAATCTTCCTCAAAAGGAGGAGGAAGTAAAATCTTTGAATTTTCTTAAGGCGAGGTGGACAGATTCTTTTTCAACAAAGCAGTGAAATGACAATGCGGAGTAGGAAGGAATGTGGAGTTGTGGTTAGAATCACTATCGGCGTGTTCCTGCTCCTAACTTGTATGTACATATTAATAATAAAAATTCAGCTATTTAAACAAAACATTCAGGAGAGATGAAGCGTATGAACCATGAGTATACCATGATTGGAAAAGTCTTGCTTCTTCCATGCCCAACAGCAGATCTTAAATTCCAAATTCAGAGCAGCATCCAATTCTGCATCAATATATGATTTGCCTCATTTCCTACAGCTTTTCTGAGCATGAATTGCCCGGATTAATACCAGATTAAAGCAACTGTGGGCTTTGAGTTCCACAACCAGAAGGTTCCCCTTAGAAGGATAAGGATGTTTGCAATCCGCCAGACTGACTGGATCCGAAAACTTGAGGTGAAAGGACAGTTTCTAATTCACATCAATGCTTAGTCCCCAGGGAGGAAAGCCAATCTGTCCCAACCTTTATTTGACTTTACAGCAATGCTGCTCTAAAACTATTGAGTGGTTCTGAGGCACTCTGCACTCGCAATCTCATTACGTTCCACTTTGGCCAAGATACTTAGAATACTGCAGGTCCAAAAATTTATTTGCTTGGTAGTCAATACACAAAATGGAAGATGGCACTTTAACAGATAATTTTTTATTACACTCCTCAATCAATAGGAGAGCGGAGAGCGGAGAGCTCACATCACAGATCATTCTCAGGGCTCTCTAACAGTCTGGGCATTTGGCCATCATTTTAATGAGCTCCTGCATGAACAGCAAAATATTGTTTTCACTCTTGTTAAATTGGTGTTAACCATTCAAAGTACCTTTATTGCATTATTGGTTAAAACAACTATTTAACCTCGAGTATTTAAAGACTTAAAAGGGCTGCATCATCACACATTAATCTGAAAAGGTATTGTGCATAATTTGTGAAGGTTGGTGAGAAGAAACTGCTCTCATACTCAGCCAGCTTTCGCCGACGGTTTCAGTCAGGTTGAGTTTAATGTCCCATGTGTTTGGGGAACTATCATGGATGTCATTCAGCTGTCATTCTCGGCTTATCAGCTGAGAGACTGTGAACAATGTCCTGTTGTCACCTGACATTAGACACTTGGGGCAGGATTTTCCCAGCATCTGGTTTCAGGAATGGGACAGAGAGTGTGCAAGAGTGAGCAAGAGTGTGCACGAGCGAGACTGTGCGCAAGCGAGAAAGAGCGAGAGTGTGCGCGAGCGCGAAACAGCGAGTGTGTACGCGAGCGAGAAAGAGCGAGCGTATGTGTGCGAGAGAAAGAGTGAGCATGTGCACACGAGAGAAAAAGCAGGAGTGGGCGCGCGAGAGAAACAGCGAGAGTGTGTGTGAGTGAGTAAGAGCGAGTGTGCGTGCAAGAGAAAGAGCAAGCATGTGCGCGCAAGTGAGAGTGTGCGCGTGAGTGCATGAGCGAGTGAGAGTGTGTGAGCAAGTGAGAGACAGAGAGTATGAGAGTGTGAGAGGTGGGAGGTGGATGTGTGTGAAGGGGAGAGAAGATGGGTATGGGTGGGACAAGGTGAGTTTGGGAGAGGGCTTAGTGATGGTGCTGGGGCATTGTATGTCGGGGGTGGCGATGGTGGATTTGGAGGGTGGGGGTGATATGTATGGGGTGTGATGGTGGTGTGTGTGGAGGTTGAGAATGGTGTGTAGAGGGGTGGGAACGGTGTGTAGAGGGGTGGGAACAGTGTGTGTGGGGGTGGGGACAGTGTGTATGGGGGTGGGGTTGGCGGTAGACATGGCCAAGTAATGCTGACCCAGTCAGCAATACCAACCCCCATGATTTTAAACATTTATTTAAAATGAAAATTGATGCTAACTTCATGATAATATTACTGGCAGTTGCTTTTAATGCTGGGGTTTTTTTCCTATTAATCAGTGGAATTTTATTGATTTGTTGAAAAAAGATTCCACCAGCTGCTGTGATCGGACTGAAATTCAGAATATTGGCCAAATCCACAAATCTAGTGACTCTGTCACAACACCTGATTCCCATTATACCAAATATCTCTGTGACACCACTTACCCAGCATTCCTTTGTTGGAATTGGACATGCACATGTCCCTTTCGGCAACAGGAAGTACAAAGCCCACCACAAATACTTCAACTCCATCGGCCATCAACGCTAAACCTAAGACAAAGAAGAGTGTCCACTGGAAGCGTCCATGTCCACACTCCTCAATGATTGACTCATACTGGTGTGCCAACTGCTCCTCATCCTTCATACGTTCAGCAATGAGATCTGCTTGGTCCCTGTACTCATCAGAAATGGGTTGCGTTGCTGCCATCCGATTGGCCTTAATATCATCTGGGTGTGGGATCCCCTGGTATTCCCCCTCGTAGATTTCATCATCTTCGTCGTGTCCTTCTGTGGCATCACTGTCAGCGTCTTCCTGTGCATGGGGATCATCACTGTGGTAATATCCCCCATCTTGTGAGGCATGCTCCCCACCACCTTCATACCGTCTGTAGGAGTCTTGCATCCTACCGTGTCTCTTCACCTCATAGGCAATATCCTTGGCTCCTTGAAAGAAGTTTGAATTATTCCCAAATCCGTCGTCCATCGTGCTCACAGGAAAATAGACCTCTTGCAAAGGACACCTCAGTTACATGTACATAGTCTTGTCTGCATAAGTTACAATTTATCTTACTGTTCAAAACAAGCAATCACACTGTTTGGATCCTCCTCTGCTGATTTCCTCACAGGACACTGTTGAAGAAAGAACTTTGAAATTCTTCACTATTTTTTCAGTTCCACAATGAGGTTACTGCATGACTCCGAGAGGAATGCTGATGTAAACAGGAAGACTGTGGGGCAAATCTTGCGACGGTAAAATCCTTAGCTGTCAGGTTCTATCGATGTCTTGAAGTGATGAATGACCTTTAGTACATCTCATTGACTGGTCCAAATGGTAACTGTCTGCAGTAAAGAAGAAAAAGAAAATAAACTTAGCTGTCTTCGAGGCATAGATTGGAAATGAAATGAGTTACTTTCATGAGCTGTCTCTTTCCAATTTCATCTCTGATTGAGCTGTTGTTAAGATTGTCTGGTGGACTGACAGTCCTTAGAGGCTGCAAATATATATCTACACTCAGTGAAATCCCCAAACCGTTTAATTAAGTGTGAAGCCTAAATTAAATAGGTAGGAACTAATTTTGTTTTTTAAACATGAGGGGGCATTTATGGACCCTGTTCAGCAACGCATATTGTTTGTGTTTACAGCTTTATTAGTTTAGAATTACAAATTTTATCTTCAATTCCTATTGTGCTCTGATCCCAGTTATGCTGGCAACAGGAACAGGTGCAGACCATTCAGCCCACTTTGCCTATCCCAACATGAGGTAGTGCTGCAGCAGATTACAGTGGAGTTGTACAACAGTGAGAGAAAACAGCCAACATTCTCATTGCAGGATGCTGTGCCTGAGTGCGTACAAACGGATGTTGAAGGAGGGTCAAGAGCTTGACTTTAATGCCATCCTTCCCACCATCTCAAAGAACAACCTGACAATTATCACTTTTTCGGGTCACCTGTCAAAAATAAATATTTTGCTGAAGCTTTTCATTTTGCACTCATTAGGAGAAATGCAATAAACACCAAATTTCAAATGACTACAACAATTATGCTACAGAAGGAAAGAGATTCTGACTGGTCAACAATGTTGGCTCTGATTGGCTGAAGTGTTGCCTTGGAGAAAGTAACAGGAAACTGTAGAGTCCCTAAACCTCTCATACAATTCCAAAAAGAGGTAAGGCGTGAACATATTCCTTTCTATAAGTACATAATGAGAAGCAGAATGTCTCTCTTTATAGCCACATTCAAGTTCACTACCACGAAGTGACTGAATGATTATTTTACTCAACAGTTACACTCTTGCCTCTGAGGCATAAAGTTCTCACCAAACCTCAGAACAAGAACAGGCCATTCAATTTGTTTCACTTTTAAAATAGGTCATCACTGATCCATACCTCCATCCTATTTACTCCTCTACTTTCCAACTGCATAGTTAAGAAAAATTAGAACCCACTGTCTGAAAAATTTCAAATCCCACTAGAGGTAATAGTTTCTCTGCATCTATCCTATCAACTTCTGTACTCATTTTAAACACCTCAATCCAATTGGAGATCACACCAAATGTGAAAATATTGCCCCAAATCAGTTCCCAATGTAAAAGGAAGTGTGGTTTTATGACTATATGTCATTATGTTATTAGATCATCTCTCGTATTGTCACACAAGAAGTGTCACACACCAAGGTTATTCTGCAGATTAACATTTATATAAGCCCCAGTTCCGTAATTAAACTATAGATAACCATGGGGAGGCCAAGGTTCCAATGAAATCAGAATGTATCTTAAACTGTCTGAACCCTTGAATTAGATTGCATTTCTGAATACAGTCTCTAAGATCTAGCAGTTGCATTGTGTTCAAGGTCAATGCTGATAGAACAAAACCTTCTTCACATTTTGGCACTTAGTACCAATATTAACACTAACTATACATGATTTGGAAGTGCTTATGTCCAGGAAAGACCATTGCCTTTCCTTTTCAATATTTTTAACCTCAGCCCCAGAAGGGTGTAACTCCCTTCCCTAAGCATGGAGCATTTCCATCTTCCACAGCAGTACCCATATTATTTCTCTCAGTGACATTTCTAAATTAGCACCAACGTGGCACTGTTGGATGTCAGTCATAATCTGTTGACAATGCTCATGAGGTAAAAAAGTGAGAAAGTAATCTTCTCAATTTAGAAAAACCGAAAGAACTACGGATTCTGTAAATCAGAAACAAAAACAGATGTTGCTAGGAAAGCTCAGCATGTCTGGCAGCATCTGTGGACAGAAATCAGAGTCAACATTTCAGGTCGAGTGACCCTTCCTCAGAACTCAATTTCTCCTCAGTGCTGTGTGGCTGACCCCATATCCTGAGACCACAATCCTTAGTTCAGGAGAAACTGCCTGTCAAGTGCTCCCAGAATCTTATATTTCAATGAGGGGAGTACAGGTAGGCATTGGTGGGGATCAGTCAGTTGGAAGGGTGGGCGGATAGTTGGGAGAGAAGATGGACAGGTTGTGTCAGGTTAAGGAGGTGGGGATGAGATGGAGGGTTGGACATAAGTCTGGGGGTGGATTTATTTTCCCACCTATCTGCCCCATCCATCCTACTGACCAATCCCTACCACTCCCTACCTGCACTCACCTATTACCATCCCACCTACCTTCCCCAGCCACACCCTCCTCTCTCTATTTATTTCCCAGCTCCCTGTCCCCTCCCCCATTTCAGAAGAAGAGTCCTGACCCAAAATGTCAACTTTCCTGCTCCTCTGATGCTGCCTGGCCTGTTGTGTTCCTCCAGCTCCACACTGTGTTATCTCTGACTCCAGCAGCTGCAGTTCTTGCTATCTCTAACAGACAATTTACATGTTTTATATTTGAAATTCAGTCCAACGCTAATTTCTTTACATTTGAAAATGGCAATATATGGTGAGAACATCTGGAAGCAACCATTAAAGAGGGCATTTTCCAAAAACTTACAAAATCTTGCCTCACGTTTGATACCGAGAAGGTTTGCAAAGTTTGGATTCAAAATAAAAGCAATCAAAGATGCAAGAATTAAAATAACTTGTGATAATATCAATCAAAAATACTCACAAAGTTCAAATGGAATTATTGACTGCTTTCACCTATGCCAAACAAGAAGAGCTATTAAAAATCATCACGTGCCTACTATAACACAGCTAGACCAGGTGCTGGCAAACTGTCATTACCTTTGCATTGTACTCCAGCACGAGCAGATATTCGTTGTTCCTTATTGAAACGTGGTACAAGTAGAGTCATCTGAAGAGTGTCATCACCTGTGCCACCTGAACATTCTGGAGAAAAAGTCTTTAAAAAATCTGATTCTGGGGAATGAAAAAATTGTTGTCGTTTTTAAAATGACTATAATCACGTCTCCAATAAAGGCTTGTCTGATTCATTTCTGGTTCCCTGCATTTATGAGGGTGGCTTATGCCTACAGACAGCTTTTGTTAATTTGCAGATGCATCTGTTCGGCTACTGTTTAAAGGGACACTCCCCTTTTGATCAAGATTTCCCAGCAAACTACTTTGCATTTGTTTGCCAAGACTTAATATGTTGACAGAAAGCATCGTGCTTGTATTTCAGTTACTTACACATGATGCTACATGTGGAGAAAGCTCATGTACTGTCTTCATCAAATAAAATTTTGGCCAAACATATTTTTACAATGAAATGCCTTTAATTATGTTGATGCAAGGATCCCAGGAGGAGTTCTATACCGTGTCACAGAAGCTTTCTCAACTCCCCAAATGGTTTCTTAATTTATTCCATTCGAGAAGAACTGTTGTTGGTTAATTAAGTGCTGCTCAGCAGCTGTCCTTGTTTATTCTTTAATCCTCAGTGTTGATAGGGTGAGAATTGTCGAGGTTGTTAAAATGGGAAACTATCCATATCATCAGCCAGGTGTCAGCATCAAGCAGTTCCAGGTCACCTAAAGTTCTGATTTATTTACACGTGGAGGGTGTCCCTGGCAAATCAGGTCAAAGCAAAATTCCTTCTATATCAACAATGTGCCTGATACCTACTGGCAGCAGAGCACTTCCTTACACTTAGCAATAAGACATTTTTCTATTTTCCACATCATCTATCCTGTCGAGACCAACGTTGATCCCCAGGCTGATGAACTGTGAATTCTAAAATCCTCATCTTTGTTTTCAAATCTTTCCCGGGACTCACCGTGACCATGTCTGTAGCCTTTCATAGCACTGCAGCCCTCACAAATACCTCAATTCTTCCATCTCTTGTGTCTCTTGTGCATTCCCCAATTTTAATCAGTCCACCCCCATCAGCTGACTGGGACCTTAGCTATGAAATTCCCTCTCCAGTCCTTTCTCCCTCTTTGTCCTTTAAGATATTTCTTGAAACTTAAAAGTCCTTGGCCATGTTTTTGGCCATTTGTCCTACTATCTCCTTAAGTGACTCAAAGTCAAGTTTTGTTTGATGGTGCTTCAGAGCTGTGCCTTGGAATGTTTTACCATGGAAAAGGTGCTATTTAAATGCAACTTTCTGTTGTTGCACTAAATCTGCTCTTCATTCTCCCCACCAAGAACGATGTCCAGCAGCACATTCTATACAAGAAAAGTGTTGCATTTAAGGAACTGGTTTGGACAGGTTATTGGCACTGCTCCATTGCAGGTGAGATCCAAATCTGGATCTTCTAGTCCAGAGATAGTGGCAGTACCACTCTACCACAAGGCTTGCATTTAAATCAGAGATAGTAAGATCTGCCAATGCTGGAGTTAGAGATAACATAGTGTGGAGCTGGAGGAACACAGCAGGCCAGGCAGCATCAGAGGAACAGGAAAGCTGACATTTCGGGTCGGGACCCTTCTTCAGAAATATGCATTTAAATAGTGTTTCTCATGAACACCAAATCCGCTTCATAATCAACAAAGTACGAATGAAATGTAGTCACTGTTACGATGTGGAAAATGTGGCAGCCAATATCTGCACAGCAAGATCACACAAAAAAGAAATCGAAGTGAAAATGATCACGTGTGCCAGTGATAAGTAGATGCCTGGGCAGCAGTGTAACCCTCCCCCCTACTTTTATAGAGCCATAGAGTCATACAGCACAGAAACAAACCCTTCGGTCCAACCAGTCCACTTTTCCAAAATGGTGCTATGGGATCTTTTACCTCCATCCAAATAGGCAGATTGGGCCTTGATTTTTCAACTTGTCCAAAACATGTCACCTTCAATAGTGCATCACTCGCTCAGTGCCATAGTGAAGTGTTGCCCTTGACATTTTTTGGTCCAGCCCCGGAGTGTGCATTGAAGGCAGTACCTCAGAGATGACAGAGCTAACAGCTGAGCCATGGCTGTGACAATCGGGTAAACATCTTTGACACCTCCATTTTACAATGATCAGTGAGTTCCTAGTGAGGCTCCCTACGTAAACCAATGATATAAAAGAGAAGGTGGAGAGAAGGGAGAGCAGATTTAGTACAACAGCAGCAACTTGCATTTAAATAGCACCTTTCATGTGGTAAAACTTTCCGAGGTGCATCTCCGAAGCATTATCAAACAAAACTTGACTCTGAGTCACTTAAGGAGACAGTAGAACAACTGGCCTAAGGTGACAAAGATACATGGGATCCCCACCCAGGGAGTTCACAATTGAGTCAAGAGGCTCAGTGAATGAGGCAGATGGAGCACGGATGGATGGAGACAAAGCTATGGAGAAAGCTAGGTTGTGGTGGATGGAATGGATGGCTGGTGTCCCAGTTTGGACAGTGAAAATCTTAGGAATGAATAGTGCAATTTCCAGCAGCATCAGCACCAGACAGCAACAAGAGCTTCTCTGTCACTGCTGGCACCACAACTCGCCAATTTTCAGGGCTATTTTAAGCCAATCTTTCAGCTGGTATCAAGTGAGACCTGCTGTGTCAGCCCAGTTACACCCGAAACATGTGATTTCAAAGTATTCACACACAAATTCAATTTATGTTTGAATCAAGAGCCTACAAGCAGATGTCAAGGTCCACCTGATCATTCAGTTACCCACTCAACTGCTCTTTACCGGGTTCCACTATTTGCTGAAATATTAATTACAGCTATGCTTATTACTAATTGTTGGCTTTCCAGTTGGTTCAGGTGTTTTTTTTATGATTCCCTCATCTTTTATCTCTGTGTCTTCTCTGAAGATGCTTTGTCCTCAGTGACCGAGTTACCCTTGTGCTGCCTCACCCGAAATGTCCACTCCTCATGCCCAGGTTAAAGTGACAAGTTCCCTCACACTGTTTAACCAAGGGGATTGGGCATAGTGAAGCCAATTCTGTTATCATCCCGGACCCACGCATACACACTATGCCAGAGATCAACAGTCAGGAATTAGATTCTTTAGTGACATTCCTTTTCCCGAAACAGTGGCCCCCTCAGCACCTCTTGTCCTGTCAGTTAGCACAATCCATGAGGCCTAGCATTACAATGAATTATGCTTTCACTCACCAGGCCAACAGAGGAGAAGGAGCTCATTTATTTTCAATGCAATTAATGTCACTTCCTGCAGCGACTTAGTTTCCTCAAAGACGTGTATCAGTTCCATTAATCCATGGTCATTAAAGCTTCTAATTAACTGCAGTCATGGTTTATGCATTGTCAGCAAGTCTCCTCAATCCTGAATTCTTTTGTATTAACCTGCTACCTGCAAAAACGACCACGAACCAGAGATTTCATTGCAAGATGTAAACCCAATCCATGCCGCTCATCTCCCAAAATGATCTTGATACCACTTAGACAAACACGCCTCATGCCCACTCTCATAAGAACATCCACAACTGAAACTACTGCAATATTTATAAAATTTCCTTTACTAACTACTCTGTGACTTCCTTGAGTAAGATTACTATTTACTGACCATGGTTGTTACTCTCCTGCAGGGAGATGTTGGTGTAGCAGTGATATCACTGAGGACAACAACATCAGATTCGATACCAAGCTCATGGTTTACAGAGCTGTGGTGGTTCCTGCTCTCCTATATGGCTCTGAGACATGGACTGTCTATAGCAGACACCTCAAGGTGCTGGAACAGTACCACAAACACTGCCTGTGCAAGCTCCTGCGAATTCCCATGGGAAGACAGGCGCCAACGCCAGAGTCCTCGACCAGGCCAACATCCCCAGCATCGAGGCACTGCCCACCCTTAATTGGCTACGATGGGCTGGGTACGTCGTCCGCTTCACTGACACGAGAGTCTCCCCGAGCAGGTGCTGTATTCCCAGCGCCAGCTGGACAGAGGAAGTTCTTCAGAGATACCTTCAAGGCCTCACTGGGGAAGTGTGACATTTCCACTGACACCTGGGAATCACTGGTTCAAGACTGTCCAAAGTGGAGGAGGAGCATCCGGGAAGGGGTGGAGCACCTCCAGACTTGCTGTCAGGAAAAAGCGGAAGCCGGGTGAAAACAGGGAAAGGAGCGCGCTGCTGCACCAATGCCCCATCCACCCCTTCCCGTGACCACCAACTGCCCCAAGTGTAACAGAGTCTGTGGTAGCTGCATCAGTCTGTACAACCTCCTACAGGCTCACCCTGAGAATGGAAGAGAGTCATTCTCATCTGTTAAGGACCACCAATGACAATGGTTTGGTAATGCAGTGGTGCAGGCTAAATACTCTGGGTTCGAATCCCAGCATTGCAACTGGTGCAGTTTAAATTCAATTAACAAATCTGGGCCATAACAGTTATCATCAATTGTCGGAAAAACCCATTTAGTTCCTTAATAACAAAATCAGAACTTGCTGGAAAAACTCAGCAGGTCTGGCAGGATCTGTGAAGGGAAAGCACGGTTAATGTTTCAGGTCCTGTGACCTTTCTTCGGAACTGATTTATAGCTGGGAAAAGGTTGATGTATTGGCTGAAGATGAGGTGGTTGTAAGGGTGGAGGAGTAAACAGTAGGTAAACAGATGGGGCTCAGAGAGATAGAGAATAAACAGACGGCCAGTTAAAGGAATGCGTAAAGGTCAGCCTGGAAGAATGAATAGCTGCTATTGGGGACTGTTAGTGGCTGACAATGGGTTGTTTGTAGTAGCAGCCCATGTGATAATAGACCTGGTGTGTGTGGATTCACTAATACCCTTCAAAGAAGAAAATTGCCCATCCTTGTCTGGTGTAGCCTATGTTGAACTTCAGGCCCACAATGATGTAGTTGACTCTTAACTACCCTCTGTCCACTCAGTTGGAGGGATGTGTGACAAATGCTGCCTTTCCAGAAATACCCACAACCTATGAAAAAATAAAAGAACACAAATAAACTAAGGGGCAACTTTTTCACACAGAAGGTCATGCATATTTGGAATGAACAGCTGGAGGAAGCGAAGAAAGCAGGTGCAGTTTCAACGTTTAAAAGACATTTGGGATAAGTACATGAATAGGAAAGGTTTGGAGGGGTATGGACCAAATCAGGCAGGTGGGACTAGTTTAGTCTGGGAACATGATCGGTATGGA